AAATCTTCTCATGAATCAAATGCAAGGAAAGGGACAGTAATTCCTTTTGTGTACACAGTAAAAATTCAGGAACCCAAGGAGAGAAATGGATTTGATCACTGTCCTCCCCTGTGCTGATGGCAAAGCTAGAAAGAGAGTGGGAGAACTTTGATTTCCAAAGAAAGCACAAACTGGAACAATCTGTCATAATTTAGTTACTACTGCTGAGCTAGTTCCCTTCTGCTATTATTGTTACTCAGTTCTGCAGCTGAAGAGGTTTTATAAGAGTTTTCCTAGGCTTTATTTTATAGTACCTGTAAATTTACTACTTAATTTAATTAAAATTCACTTAAATAAAATACTTAAATAAGGTATACTTTATCCAGATAAATAGATTTAATTCTGCTTTTAAGTATGTTACAGGAGTAGTAGTTAAGGTAGTTAAAGGATGTATGTGAGTCTAAAATTGAATGAGTGTTTTTACCTGAAGGTATGCATTTATTATTATTATTATTTTTGTAGGAATTCTGTTAATTTGCTTTACTGTCTCTAAATAGCTCTTTACAAAAGGAAAAATACAGGCTTTACACCTCCCCCCTTACAATGTTAATCACCTGGGGATATGCTGTTGCACATGGATGGAAGGCAGTGTCCATAAAACACTGTAATCTCAAAAATGCTGAAAAGAGAAATTAATTCTAAACATAGTGGTCTGGGGGAACAAAACCTAGCATAGGTAGGACAGTGAAGAACAAACAGTGACTGGGTATGAAGTACATACATTGCATTGTTCCTTGATTATAGAAACCAGCTCTTCATATTTTTTACTATAGACCTACTTCTGAGTTGTGAACGTTTCAGATCATTTTTGAGGCATGTAGAAAGAAATTTGGGCTTCACAGAATAAAATGCTGAAACTTCCATTCACAAATATAAGCCAGGATTTCATTTTGGCAGCTTCAAACGTTTAAGAGGGTTCTGTGACAGCATAGAAATATTACTTGTGTTCAAGAGAGAGCTTAAATCACCTGTAGCATCCAATATACAGCCTTTCAGGGTCAGTAAAATTTTCCAAAAGATAAAACATTTTTTCTATTTCAGGTTTCAGTTTAAATGAACAGAAGCTTCTCTTTTGTCATGAGTGAGGCATGATGTGTTTGGTGACCCTGCACATAGCAGGGGACCTGAAACTAGATGATCACTGTGGTCCTTTTCAGCCCAGGCCATTCTGTGATTCTATGATGAAGGGTCATGATGTGAAGTACAGGAAATTGAACTTAGGGGGAAAAAAAAAATGACTTTGAGGATTCTTAGTACTGGAAGAGGCTGCACAGAAAGGTTGTAGGGTCTCCATCTTTGGACACACTGGAAAACAGACAGGAGATGAGCAGCCTGGTCTAGTTTACTGTGTGATGAGCAGCAGGCTTGGACTGGAAAATCTCCAGAAATCCCTTCCATAATGATTCTGCATATAAGGGTTTAGCACAAAATTAAGCATTTAACTGCCATTTTTTCTTTTTTCCCAAAGATCTGCTGTCAGAAGAAACTGTTCCTCAGAAGTATGTGATGTCTACTGGCGGACAGGGCCTTGGAGGCCTTGCAGTGTGCAGTGTGGAAATGGATTTCAGTCTAGACGAGTGTACTGTGTACACAGAAAGAATAACAAACTTGTGGCCGATCAGTATTGTGGATGGAAAAAGAGACCAGTGAGCTGGCAGCACTGCAATGCCACAGCCTGTGGCAGTATGTAAATATTTATTTCTATCTCAACATAGTGATAGTTTCCAGCACTTATATTAGAAAGCGCCTCACAATTGTACGTTAGTGATTCTGCAAGCATTTGATTGTACATCTCAAAGGTAAAACTAAACTCTCTCTCAAGCAGCACTTGATAATGCTGGGGTTAGTTGTCTCCATGACTAGGGCAGTTTGATATAAAAGTCTCAGAAGCACTTCTAAAAGCAGGATTTGTAGGAAGTTGTTTTATGCAAACTTCCCTTATGACTGCCAGCTGTGAGTCGTTCATGAGTCTCTGAGCAAGCTGTTAATTCCTGGAAGGTGGGGTTCTCTGAAATGAATGCAGTGAGATCACACCACTTATGTGTGACCTACTTTAGCTGTTGTCAGAAATGTGAAGTAAAATAATTACAAAGCTACCACCAGTATCCATTGGTTGTTATGATGATTTCTGCTATTTATCTTGTGTTCATTTTCAAGTTTTTTAATGTTCAAATATATTTTTCAGAAGATGAATGCAAGGATACAACTCACTACTGTACATTTGCAAAGCAACTGAGGTTATGCTTGGTAGACGTCTACAAACAAAGATGTTGTCAGTCATGTCAAGAAATGTAACTCTTCTATGGAAAATTCGTGATACTGCAGTGAAGAGATGAGAAGAGAGGTTCATTGAATTATCCTGCTCCAATTATATACCTGTAAATAAGACATTAGTCATAACAGTTAAATGGAAACTTGGGGCTAATGAAAAAACAGTATTGCAGATTGATACGCTGGACAGGGTACTTCTTCCAGGAACTTTTATTACCCACTCTTTACAATGGAACTTTTAATGTTTTAAGCATCTCCATGTTTGAATTAGGAATTTTTGTTTTGTAGACAAAGTAGATGTCAGTACAGTTTTCAAAACAGCAATAGATTTGTTTTGAAAAATGAAGTGTCATTATCTATTGTTTCTACTCTTCTGCTCAGTCACTGAAGTACAATCAAAGTTCTGGCATGGTTAGACTTTGCTACTGATTTTGAATTAGACACAAGGCTTCCTTGTCAGAGCTGTGAATTAAACGTTTGTGAGCACTGTTCCCTATCACAGTCAAACGGGGAGCCAACAAATAGCCAAACATGCCTGTCAGATTTTCTGTCTTTGGTTAATACTTTATTAACAGGGAAAAATGTCCAAGGAAGGATTACTAATTATGAAGATAGAGAGGTGCAAAAAATGTATTTTGAGCAGTTTTCCTTCAAGATGAATTTTTATCATGACCGATAGCCATGTGAATCTTTGCAAGATGAAGAACTGGTTGCGGTTTTTCTGGATATATTATTTTCTGTACTGCAAATTGTCTCATTTGGGCTGTAAGCACAGAGAACCCACAGAAGGCAGCAGATAGCTTTCTTTTTTTAATGTAGTTCCCACACTACTGCGCTTCTTGGAAGCCCGAATGTGAGTCTAGACTTGGATCTTTTGTTACATTACTGAACCACACTACATTTTAATTAGTGCATGTGCTGTCAGAACAGTTTTGGAAGCAGCATTCCTGCACTATGGGTTTGCATCACTGAAAATTAGATTAGCACTACTGTATAGAAAATGTTTAATATGGACTATTGTGTCCAAGGCTGACTGCAAGGAGAGGATATTCCTGATCATTACCTTTTTAATCAGTGATGGGTCTTGATTGTTAAGCAGTTTTTTTAAATTAAAAAAACAAACAAACGAACAAAAAAACCATTTTGTAATATACTTTTTGTAGATATTTATTGTCTGATTTAAAGTGCAATATTTTGTTTTGTACAGTGTTTAATAAAGATTTTTGGACATATATTTTTTCTTATTACCAAAATTTCTTATTCATATTTTTCCTTTATATTTAAAGTTTTCAGATGTTAACATATAGCATTCTTTTGTTGCTTTAATTTTGTCTCTGGATACATATGCATGCTATACGGAAGCAGCGCTGTAAATGTTTGTTATTGCACTTGGCATGACATTCCTTTGTACATTATTTTATTGCTTCTGCAGTAACTGAAGGTGTCTAATACTTTGCTTTCTTGAGCGTAGTTTTGATATTTCTGAAATAAACTCTACTTTCATTATTCAACACCCTGATTACTCAGAGATTCTTTCTTACTGTGATTTTCACGTTAGTCATGCTTTCATTCCAAGGGTTACTCTGTCAGCCTACTACGTCCATCATTCTGGGATTTTCAAAGCTTAGTTCTTACTTTTGACAGCTGTTCTCAGCTTTGCACCTCTGTTAAGAAGCAGCAGAGATGTTACCCAGCTTTGAGAACAGTCAGCTTTAATTCATGGAAATCCAGAATAAGGATTCTGTAAAAAGGTGGAATAAAGTTAGCTTTCTTTGTCAGGCCTTCATGTACATCAAAGTGTTCACTTAGAGCAAATGGAACAGCTCCATGTTTTACAGTTGGTGGACAGTGGCAATAGCTATCTGAATAAATATATTTCAGAATCTCCAATATGTGTAATAACCTTTAGAAAGGACAGTTCCTGTAGTAGAAATGCTAAGTCACGGCTTGAAACAGTAATTAAGCACCTGGTGGGAAGGCAGGGCCAACCCAGGGGAGCTCAGCTGCATGCAGTGCAATGTATCTGAGTGACTGGAAGGGGTGTAGCCAGGATCCACCCCTTCTCAGACCTCATCTAAGGGTTGGCAGTGGAGGTGAAGCATTTTGCTGGAGATCCCTCTCTACTTGAGGCCTTCTAAGGGTAAGCAGTTTCTTTCTTTTGTTCCTGTGTCCGTGGCTGTTACATTGGAGCAAGTCCTCACTTGCTACAGCCCAGGACTTTGCTACTCTGCTGTTGTTGCTGCACTTTTCATCATGTTAAGGTTCCATGATTTTTGTAAGTTGAAAATGCCTAACAATTAAATGGTATTTTAGAGTTATCCTGGATTGTAGCACTTGCAAAGGGGTGTGATTTCATTTGTTTTTGTTTTTTCACCAACTCTTTCTCAATAATCTTCAAAAGAAAAAACAAATACTGTGTAGGGTAGTATATAATAAGCACTTCTAGAACACATACTGAATCCGCAAGTAACTTATACGTGTCAGCACGGTACCATAAAATACTCTTTTAACAACTATTTCTTGAGAAACATTAGTTTTCTACCCTGCTGTTTACTTTGTGTGCATTTTGATAGTATCTTGCTTATGAAGAAGTTGACCTTAAGTATTTGAATAGTGACTGAATGTTTATAATTTATTTATTTATTTATTTATTTTGAAGCACAATCTTCAGGGTGTGGTCTTTCTACTGTAATGTAATAAGCATACTTTCTCATACTTTGAAATTTAGGGGGGAAAAATTCAAGGGTAAAACTAGAATATATCCCCTTCAACCAAAAGAAGTTATCATACACGTCTGTACAGGAGCTCTTAAATGTACCTAAGTGTGCGCTCCATTTGCTCTCAAAATTTCTCTGTGACATGCTGGTAGGTGGCAGCAAATGACTTCCCACAAATTAAGGAGAAAAAGAATAAATTACTTGGGTTCTGCAAAACCAGCTGTGAAAGTTACACAATGCACCTGGGGCTTGCTTACAGACCCTGAGGAAGAGCCACTGCCAGTAGAACATGCAGGCATGCGTAACATGTGGGTTCAGGATGCGTTTCTCAGGGATTCTTTTTTCTTTCCTAGAAAAGAGGACTGGGAGGATGGTAGGGGTTTCAGTAAATGTCACGTGAGGTATGTATAAGGTATATATGTGTTATTAATTATGTATAAGATAAGCTGTCGGATAGGTGTAACTATGGAATGTTTTGACTTTAGCTGTGGATATACAGAGAATGAGTGAAGTTTCATGAAGAGGAGTATCTATAGGTTGTTTTCTTCTGTGGTACAGAAGAATGAAAACAAACTGATCATTGTTCTGTCCTTCTTCTCAGGCATCCCTGTTTCGCTGCTCGTTACTCATCCCCCATCCAAAGTATGTCTTTGCCAGCTGGGGAAATGAATAGTCTTCAAGAAAAGTTTAATTGAATTGTCATTTCATAAACAGAGTAAATCATATTGCAAACACACACTGCAAATTACCTAACAATAACCGATGCTTTAACACACTCAGTTCAGGTTTCCTCCGTACGTAAGATCCAGTTCCTGCTTTCAATATCTTCTCATCATCAGTCTTCGCCCACTGATGGCTGATGTGCTTTAGAATATATTAGCATCTAGATATTCAGAAAGCCAAATGATTTTTCCTATACGGACACTGATTGTTGGATTAACTAAAAACAGGTAAAGATACATGGGGATCAAGTTAAATGTTTCATATAGAAGCATAATAAATTCACGTCTGATTTTAAAGTTGTTTTTATTTGTATTTGTTGCAAGTCACTTTTTAAGAGTAAACTGTGTGAAACCAGGCTCACAGTTGTGCATCTCAATGCACGCTTCTTTTTTTAACTGGGTTTGCACTATTTTTTAACTCCACATACACTTTTTTTCTGCCCTTTTTCTCTTCAGACTGCCTCTGCAATGAACTTTGGCAATGATAAAAGGCTGTTCAGCTTTAGATATCAGCAGAATCCAAAATTGCTGTGGATGGGCATTAACTTTTTGAGACTTGTTTGCTTTTCTTTCTCACTGTTTGCATTTTTAAGTTGAATAACAATCATCTGTGAAATCTTGTTGAGAAATTCAGTTTGCACAACAGCTTAAAAAATGACTGATGTGAGAAGGAGACGGTGTGTCAAAGTGTATCTGGAAAATCAGGAGGAGTCTGATGGCCTGCTTTGAGTCAGTGATTTCAAGTATATGTACAGAAAGAGCAAGGTTAGTTCTTGTTAATCACTCTCAGAAATTACTGTGGGACCTTTAGATTCAGAATTGGATGCAGGAGAAGAAATCATGATAAAACTAAACCCATTTTAAAGGAATACCTAGAAATGCCCAACATAACTTGGCCAACAAACTATAAAGAAAAATAAAGATCTTATCACTCTAAGTATTGATGAGATGAAGAACTGGGATATGCATGTTATTATTCAACATTTTATTTGATTATTCTGAAAAGCAAACTACTATTTAAAAAATGCAACTGCAATGATTTGACCTGCAAAAAATCATGAAAAAATGGGAAAGTAGGTTTGAGAGGGAATGGAATGAGATCTGGGAAGTCAAGGAACCTGGAATGCACAATCAAGAAAGACTTGATTCCATGTAAGATTACTCCTACAAAAACAGGCAAATCTCCAGAAGTATTTTGATATTCTTTTGGTTTGACTTGATTTTCCTTCAGCTATCAGTCTAAATGCTTTTTAAATCAAAATTTGCATTATATAGGTTGCTTTGATGTAATTAGAAGAAAAAAAAAAACAAAAAACAACTGGTAGTGTTCCAGGTATTTCACCAGGATGCTTGCGATTAAGTATTATGACACAACAGCTACTTCCTTTGGAACATGATTGCTATTTAACTCAGAAAATTCTGGAGTGAGCTGGCGGAAGAACTTATGACCATGAGAATCTGTGTTTACATAGATATAACCTGGAGGAGATGTGTAATTTGCTGGGCAGATCTCCTGTTTCTTTGGAGTATATTCTGTGCGATACATAGTTTCATCCTGAAAATGAGCCGAATTAGGAAGAACGACATGCACAGGTTTGAAACTTTGGGCTGGAACGATGTGATGTGGTATGTAATGAGATTTGAATGTAGTTAAATCATAGAATTTTCCTGTGGGTTTTGGAATTTCCTGTTGTTTCTTAATAATTTCTTGCCGGGAGCTGGCCCAAGCTTTAAAGTCTTCCTTCATAGTAGTATTCCCTTGGAAAGGGGCGCTGGTTCTTCTTGCATTAGAAATTGGCCTTATAGGGACAGCAGGAGAAATCTCATGTTTAACATAATGAAGGCGGCTAGTGGAGTTAAAGTCCATGTTACCCAGGGGAGGAATGTACTCTCTTGATTTGCGTGCCTCAGGCAAGGAGACCAGCCAGGGCTGAAAACGATCCTGGAATTCAGTAACCCCACTAAAATGATCACTAGATTGGACTTTTGCATTTTCAGGCTTGCAGCTTCTTGCAAGTGGCCCAGGTAGCCCTTTAAAATCATTCCGGTGAGTTGTGAGATCTTCAAAGGGTTGGCTGCTTGGCTTGTACTCTTCTTTTGATTTTACAAACTTCGGTTCCAGATGATGAGCAACATAGGAAATGCGATGACTCGTAGTGCTATCAAAAGGCACATCTGAAAGTTTGGGGACACAGAGAGGTTTGAAACTTTGTCTAGGATTCAGTTCTCTAGGAACAAAGTCATCTTGAAAAGTAGTAGGATTTCCAAATTTCTCTGTAGGTGGGTGGTAGACATGATCCACTTTAACAGGTTCCCTTCTTTGAACTTCCCATGACCTATAGTCATCTTTAATGCAAAAACAGAACTTCACCAAAAAAGTGTTATTTCTTAGGAACACTCATTTGAAATTAAGACAACTTCTGGTACTAAGCCTTGCGAACTAAAGAAAATGGGTGTGAGTTAGAATAATGTTATCTCTGTGACGTGACAAACCTGATTTCTATTAACGGTGTGACAAAACCAGGAAAAACAAATGTATTTGATGCCTTATTTTGACTATTTCCTAAAAAAAAAAAAAAAAAAAGTGTTATGTGAACTCAGTAAGTTTTCTCCACCAACTGCTCTAACTTCCTGTTTTAATGGCTGTATCAGTTTGTTGTTATCTCTTGCTGTGTCTTTTCAACAACAGTGGTCCTGACAGCCAAGAATATCTTGATTTTTTTTTTTTATTTTGATTGCTGGTTGGCAGCTCCAGTAGATCATATCTCATCCTTTATTTATACATGCTTTTAACTGGGGTCTGGCTGCATTACATGTAACAAATTGAGTTACACATTGTATGTAAAAACTTCTTTGCCTTTATAAAGTATGTCAAGGTCACTTGCCAGAATGATATTAACAGAGATTTAGTGTCTGTACTGAGTCTATCAGGATAATTTTTGTCAAGACAGATTAATAATAGGATAATATGCAAGCTATGTAATACAGGAGAAGGAAATCTGAAATCTTTTGACCTGTGGAAAAAAATTGTGCTATCATAGCTGAAACTGTCTGAAAAATACATTGTGAGTTTAATGATGGCAAACTTATGTCTGAGCCTAACAAGTGTGTGTCAGAGTCTCCTTCTAGCCAAAGAATCCCAGAGATAGCTTTTATTTTAGAACTTGTAAATGTCAGCTCTAAACAGCTGGAGGGCTGAACATCTTAAAGCATTATCACCTTCTATTATTATGCCCTACTCTCTGGCCCAAACTAAGAAATCCAGTTTCACATCTCTTATATAAAAAACTCAGGAAACTACCTTTGTCTTTGGCTACTTTTCTTTCTAAAGATTGCATTTGTTATTACCTTGATAGGTCGGTATGGTATCCAATTTTCCTCCTGTAGTGTGTTTTCTCTCTAAAGGTCTTATTAATGTCACCGGTTGTATTTCATGAGCATAATAATCTTTCTTGTATGTGGTTCCAAGTTCTAGCTCTCCAGTCTTTGGTTTATATTCTTCTTGTACCCGAAACGGTCGTTTCACAATATCATATGGTAAATAATCAGATCTGAATTGAGGAAGAGGAAAATACTGGTTAAAATATCTTTTGCTCATGAAGTCACCCTTGTCATTTCCCCATTGTGTGGAAAAACAGCTTACAATGTTTGCTATGAAAAAATGGATCAGTCAATATGTTAGAAGACAGTAAGGAAGAAAGGAAATGATATCACCTAAATCTAGGCTGTCCAGTGCAAGGTATCATCTTTATTCAAAGGTAGACGATGAAACAGCTTATTCAACACTTCAAGCCTCACCCCAGGTTAAAAATATTCTTTAAAATATTTGAAAGTAGAATTGTAAAACTATAGTTTAACACAGAAATAATACATAAAGCAGGAACAGAGCAAAAATCCAACTACCACAGGTAGCAACATTTACCTCTTGCATGAAGAGAATGGAATATGAAGAGAGAGAGCATTTCACTGTGGTTCTCATGGGTCATTTTCATACAAGCACAATACAAAAAAATGGTTGTGTATTATATATAGGTGTATAAACAGTACATGCAGTACACAAACAACTTTGCAGTTTGAACTCTATGTTGAACTATGTATGGTTCTTCGGCTTTTTTGTAAATGTGCTTTATTATGTTTTATCATCTCTTTGGGGTAACTGTAAATCTACAATCTAAACTTTGCTTTTACATATGCTGAAGGATTAAGGAGTGCAATGATTGAAAATTGCAATACAAAGCTCAGCGTCCTCCTCCCTTCAAAGAGAAAATATGAGAAATGTTACAAAGCGATAGTAAAATACATTGCTTTAAAATGCTTACTTAAATGTTGTAATTCCTTCCATTTTCCCACGATGTGCTTGGTACTCTTCTTTTGGCTTCAGGCTCCGGGCAGGAGAGATGTTGCTATACTTGGGGTATTTTTCCACATATTCTGTTGTGAGGCACAGCCGTTGTCCGTTATCATAAATCCTTGTGGGCCTATGAGGGCAGCGATGGCGCCTGGGCAAAATACATCAGATGAGATCGCTTTGAGAAGCTTCATTTAAGGGGAAATACCATTTGTTATCTACTGGGAATTAATAACAAATGATAAAGATGGTTTGATGTCCATAGAATGTGTTTAAAGGTTTTTTTTTTCTGAGCACAAAATATTGTGCTATTGGAACAGACACAAAGAGTGCAAAAGTCTTAAAGCCTTGAACTGAAGAGGAAAGAACTTCTGAGAGCTGCTAAAATAGCGAAGTGCCCAGCACTGGATCTGAGAAGTATTGTATATTTTGTAAACTGATCTTTGAGCACGCTGAGCACTTCCAGTGGTTTTTGGCATTAAAATTGTTTGTTGATTTTGAAAAAAGATCACTTAATAAGCACAGGAAGCGATTCAGCCCAAGAAAAAGGAATCTGAATAGATTCTTAAAAATATTTAACAGTTCGTTCTTTCTAAAAGGGCTCAAGCCTTCAGTCCTTAAGTATGAACAATAACACTCAGATTCAGCTCTTAGTGAATTATATGTATGTTATAATATAAGGAAAAAATGTCCTTCAGGAATTTTGAAGGCTCTCCACTTCTATATAAAGAGAAAGCTGAATTTAGTTCTGTCTCCTCTCCTGTATTTGAAGTTTTTTTGTTTTTTTGTTTTTTCCTTCTGTGAATAAATTCCAGCTAGGAAAGATTGTTTCCTTCCACTTTGATATGAAACAGTAATTATATTTGCAGAAAACTTAATGGAGTTAACTCCTACAAAATATTAGATGGTTTCCTTCATCTCAAATTCTCTGAGTGTGCATTGCAATATCCAGGTAACATTGCCAAGTGACCAGGCTTCCCCTGAAAACAAACTCTATAGCTACACCGAAGCAAACAATGTGCTGCCTAACCTAACAACAGCTTGAGGTTTCACTGAGTACAAAAACTTAAATGATGTTTATTTAAAACCATATGTTTTATGTGTGTTTTATTCAATTGATCTGTGATCCTGTGAATATAACTGCAGGCGTTGAAGGAGACCTCTGGACTCATCAAGTCCAACCTCTGCTGATGCAGTTCCCTGCAGTAAGTTACATAGGAAAGCATCCAGAGAGGTCTTGAATGTATGTCTCCATAGAAGGAGGCTCCACCAGCTCTCTGGGCAGCCTGTTCCAGTGCTCCATCACTCTCATAGAAAAGAAGTTCTTCCTTATGTTTGTACAAAACTTCTTGTGCCCACTGCCCCCTGTTCTATCGCTGCACAGTACTAAAACCAGCCCAACCACATCCCCTCTTCAGTGGTGAAACAGTGCTCTCAGCCTTCTCCAGGTCTCTCAGCCTTTCCTCTCAGGGTGATGCTTCACACCCTGTCACCTTTTGTGCTCCTCAGCCGGACTCCTTTTAGCAGATCGCTGTCCTTTCGGACCGGGGAGCCCAGAGCTGCGCCCAGCACCGCAGCTGTGCCCCTGGGGCAGAGCAGAGGACCGAAAGGACCGCCTTCCTCGCCGTGCCGGTTCTGGCACGCTGCTGGTCGTGGCACGGGAACCCCAAGTCTTTTTTCTCACAGCTCCTTTCTGCGTTGAACTCAGCGTTCGTGCAGACTCTAAGCGTGGCACTGACGGCGGTTCCAAAGGACTGCCCCTTCCCTATTTTCAACGCAAGCCAACTCATTTAAGAGGAGCGAATCCCCTCAGGAGCTTAACCGCAAGTACATCAACCCCTGTGTACCGAGAAGATGGCTTAACAGAAAGGAAGCCGGGCGCGGGCGCAGCGGAACGTCCCGTTTCCCGCCACCCACCCAGGCTCCCCTCAGCGGGGCTCCTACCCGCAGGTGCAGATCTCGCACAGGCACCGCGGCCGCCCCATGCTCCGCTCCGACCCGGGCAGCGCTCCGTCGCGCGGCAACGGCGGCGGCGTCCCCGCGATCGGCCTCGGCCGGCCGCCGTCCGACGTCACGGCCCGGCGGAGGAGGAGCTGGCGCGGGCTTCCGGGTACGGAGCGCGGTCGCGGTGAGTGCGTCTCCTCGGCGGGGCCGCGGCCCCGCGGCGGGAGCTGGGGGTGAGCTGTGGGGGCCGGGGGTCCGAAAGGAGATGGGCGGAAGCGTGGCCGCTCCGTGCGGGCGGCGTCCGAGCCCGCGGCGCCCCGCCTGAGCCGCGCGCTGAGGGGCCGCTGCCGGCGCGGTTACGTAACGAGCGGCGCGCCGAGCGGCGCGTGGTGCCCCGGCTGAGCGCTGCCCTCTGTCGCAGGACTAAGCAGCCATGGTCCTTACGAGCGTGGGGAAGATGATGGGACTCCAGCGAAAGGCTGCCGGCATCAGGAACATCTGTGTGCTGGCGCACGTGGATCACGGTGAGCGGTGCGGGGCTGCGCGGGCTCGGCTCGGCGCCTCGTTCTGATGAGCGGGCAGCGTGCCGATGCGCGTCGGTTTTGTCCCGGTACGGACAGATAACTTCTAAATAACTTGTCGTAGCTGGAACTGAACGTCCTGTGGTGGTGAATGTTGGCATAAATGGAATACGTGCGTGTCTAGAACCATAGAATCCCCTCCAGCTCCAGTGATTTTCTGGTTCTGTTCTGCGCTGGCGTCAGCGTTTGCGATGCTGTCGCATCGTTTTCTGTTCTCTGTATTTAAACTCAGTGATTTGTGTTTCCTTTCAGGCAAAACCACACTAGCAGATTGCCTGATATCCAGCAATGGGATAATCTCCAGCCGCTTAGCAGGAAAGGTAGAGTTACCAGCTCATCTATAACAAAACTGTGATGATGAAGGGAAGCCCCCCTCCTAGTCTTGTTAATCCTTATCTTTGTGCAGTTACGCTCATTAGCATTTGATAACTTGTGAACGTAATTCCCTGTATTTATTTCCTCTTCTGTTTTTGCCCTCAGTTGCGATATCTGGACAGCAGGGAAGATGAGCAGGTCCGAGGGATAACGATGAAATCCAGTGCGATTTCATTGCACTTTGAGAAAGGTAAATTGCTGATGCCAGCAAGTACAGAACTGATTGATTGATTGATTGATTGATTGGATTTTTCCCCCCCATCTTTCTATTATCACTGTTGAGATCTTTTTCTATGTAGATTGTATGTTTCTGTGTTAGCCTTGATTCTGCAAAGTCTTGGTCATGTATCTAAACGTAAAGACAGACAGTACCTTTAGACTTGCCTGATAATGATGGGTTTGTGCAGGGATAAAGTTAATTCATCTTAAAAGTTACGAGTTAAATTGCCTCATGTATAAGCCACTGGATGCCACAGCTATGCTGCTGGCAGTTTTCCAGGCCTGTTTAAGTTTTTCTTGAGCTTAATGGTTACTGCAAATTTTGTCCTTGGAAATCAGTACTAGCTTAGCAGTATAACAACCTGGCCAAATTACATATTTATGGAAACTGTTCTGAAATATTTATTGTTTGATCCTAGGTGGTCAGGAGTATCTGATTAATTTAATAGACTCCCCAGGGCATGTGGATTTTTCTTCAGAAGTATCTACTGCTGTCCGACTCTGTGATGGTTGCATCATAGTGGTGGATGCTGTTGAAGGCGTCTGTCCACAGGTGAAATAAAAAGTATATTAGAGAAAGAGAACAGTGTAGAGTGAGTAAACAAATCAAAATCGTTTATATGTTTGAATATATTGTGTGGAAATAAAAGATAAGCTGGCTTAAGGAGTTCTGGACACTTGTAATGGATGTTCAAGTACTCAAGGTCTGAAAGAGGGCAATTTTATTTCTTGGTTTTGCTGAAAAATTGACTAAAGCTGTTGAGTGGGTGTAGTGGTGTAGGGTTGAAAAACTGTGTAATATTTCTGGTAGTAGAATATTTGTGTAGAGAAGAAGTCAATGTCTGAAGCAAATTATTTAATATTGTTGTGTGCTTTTAGAGTATTGAAAATGGAATAATTATGCAAAATAATGATTTTGGTTTTTTTTTTAAATGATTTTTATAGGAGTATGGGTTAGTTTGGTGGGCTTTTTAGCTGTAAAAATATTTTCTGTAGAATTCTGTAACTATCCCTATGGAACATTCTATCTCTTGTGGTATCAAGCTTTCTGTAATGGGTTTTCTTTTAAACTGTTTCTTTCTTAATAGACTCAAGCAGTTCTACGGCAGGCATGGCTAGAAAACATTCGTCCAGTATTGGTGATAAATAAAATTGATCGCTTGATTGTGGAGCTGAAGTTAACCCCTCAGGAGGCATACATGCACCTTAAGAATATTTTAGAACAGGTATTCTTGCTTTAGTGTCATGTTCACGCAGCAGATTTGGTTGCGAGTTCCCCCTGCCTTGTCTCCATTCTTGAATTGACAGAGATTGTGGTTTTCAGTGGCTTATAACTGCAACAAAACCAATTTTGCTTACATTGTGGAACCGAGCGCTGGGACTTCTTGTCTTATTTAACCAACTGAAAAGAAAATGAATCAATGATATGAGGCTCATTCTGAGTGTCTTTGATGGAGAAAAGAGACTGAAATGTCACTGGACAAGGCATCGTGGAAATCTCTTTGCTTTTAGAAATAACATGCCGTACGTCTTGCCCTGATAAATTGCCTAGGCTCCTTTGAGGCCAGACTAAATATCTTTAGACTGTTATTGATAATGATAGATTTATGCCAGAATGAAGTTAACTCTTCTCAGGTTGTAAGGTAAATTGCCTTCAGACTCTTTTTAGAGCTCCTTTTTCAACAGTTATCTGCGTGGTTTCCCTTTGCCCTCTGTTGTTGTTTGTTTGTTGGCAGTAATGAGTTTTCATCATTCCTTCTTCTGAGAAACATTGGGTGATGTATAATATTCTAAAGCTGATTTAATCCTGACATTACTGAGTGAATCAGAAAACCTACTCTAAGCTGAAATGTTTGTCTGTCAAACTCCCATTGTCTTCAGATTGACAGGGTTAGATACCTGAGGTCTGTGTTCTAGATTGCAGAATGAATCATAAGTGCACAAAGTTGTTAAAAAAGAAACAACAAAAACCTATGTGTTTTGGAGGATGGGGGGAATTGTGTTTTAATTACACATGCTGTGAATGAGTGTACAGATCTTTGGGTATTTTTGCCTGCCCTTTTGTAGATAAATGCAGTCACTGGATCACTTTTTACCTCGAAAGTCTTAGAAGAAAGAGCTGAAAAAGAAGCCGAAAGTGAAAGTAGTTCTGACACAGCAGCTGGAGATCAAATTTATGACTGGAGTGCTGGGTTGGAAGATACAGATGATTCCCACCTCTATTTTTCTCCAGACCATGGAAATGTGGTGTTTGCCAGTGCAATTGATGGCTGGGGTTTTGGGTAGGTATGAAGTTTAATTTGTTGCCTTTTTTTGATATGTGTTTGCTGCAGGTAACCTCAAATTTGAAGTATTTTGGGTTCCTTCCTACTTCTGATTTTTCTTTCCCTGTGATATGCAACATATATATTGTTAATATATATGTTAATATATATTAACACTACACAGCTGGAAACACTATGAATGAAGTAAAAGAATGTGAGGATAGAACAATTCCACAAAATTAGCAGGGTGACTGATCTGAGTATGTGATAAGTTCTGTTTTTGCAATTCTGTTCTCAGTAACCAGTCTTGGAGGGCAGCATGCTGTGGTAAGGATGACACGTGCTCTGTTCTGACTGGCCACAAGGTGGAGTCCTCAGCTTTAGCACGGGTCTGTAATTAAAGAGATTCACCTGGTAATCCAGTACAGTTCTTGGCTGTTGTAAAACCTTAAACTCTGGCATTTTTAAGCCAAGCTCAGGCTTTAATTTGGATTTTATTATTTGGTATGGTTTTAGTCTTAAAAATTGAATTCTTATCACTGCAGTGAAGAAAACTGAAAAAAGCTCTTCAAACTTTTGCGTCTTGGTGTACTGTTGCCTGATGATGTACCTAGAATGGTAATATTAAACCCAGGTCATCTTTCAGCTTCTCAGAACCAAAGTGCTAGTTTTTATTTGCACATATTTCCTTTTGCAGGCTTCCAAAACAAACGTGAGCTGCAAATTACCCAGTATACTCTGCATGTAATTCACTTTCACATCCACTAAGGAAAGCATTCATATTCTGACTTAAAACTTTAATAAGTTTACAGTGGTTGTATCCCCTCAGTATTAAAATTTGTGTTGTTTTATGGGTTAGACATGTTGTTATTTGGAACATTGCTTTAATAAGTGCCTAAAATAGATAAGAAAATAATTGCCATCATTGGATGGCTGAAGTATGACTAGAAAAAATACTTGATTTTTAATTCTTACTGTTCTGGTCACAGTTAAATATATAACAGTACCTCTTCTGTAGAATAAGTTAGAGGGATGTGACTTTAAATACTGAAAACTTTTGTACTGTATTTGATATTTTTCTCAAGGGGTCGTACAAGTGTTTCTTTAGCTGAAACGAGTTCAGCCTTCAAGCTGACTTAAAATAAAACAAAAACATACAAATACTGCTGGCATTTTTGAGCTGTTGCCATTGAATGTTTTTGTAGGTGTAAATGTGAAAAAACAGGAGTTAACGTGAAGGCGAGCTGGGGGAAAGAAAAAGGGAGCAAAACAAGGTCATGAGATTTGTGTAAGCTGTCACTTGCTTGGGCTGACAAGCACATGTAAACAGTGTTACACTTTAATCAAGATGCATTTTGTTTGCTTTCAGCATTGAGCATTTTGCAAAACTGTACAGCCAAAAGATTGGAATCAAGCCTGCAGTGCTGCTGAAGACTTTATGGGGAGATTATTATCTAAATACAAAAGCAAAGAAGATAATGAAAGGTGATCAGGTAGGCAGATTGCAAAAATATTACCTGGGGTTTATTTAGTTTAGGGTTTTTTGTTGTTGTTGTTCTTTTTTTTCCCCAGCTTTAGAGATTCAGGGTACAGCAAAATACAGAAGACGAATGCAAGACTGGTAGTGTAGGAACCAGTGTAGTGAATGGACCTCTGTCATCTGAACTGAAGAGTGTTTCTGCAGCTCCTCATTTAGGATTCCCATGTTTAACTGAGGATTTAGGATTTTAGAGAATTTTTGCCATACTGAGATGTAAATTGTAATTGAAGGCTGTGCTTGAAACACCGGCATGAGAACTGTACTTTTGTGGGCATTGTTTCTACCACTCAGAGGGCAGGAGTTTCCTTTTTTTCATCTAATAACTTTTTTTTTCTCAGTAGGTGAGGATTAAGAGAAGATAACCATGCTCAAGGTGGATGTATTGTGTTTATCAGGATCTTTCTCTGAAATTGAAACCCTTATTCTGCACTTTAAAATTCCATTTTATTTTAGTGATTTATGCCGTTTCTTAGACAAGAGTTGATCTCGTGTAGGAACAGGAGATGGGGGGGTTGATTTTGAATAAAGATTTTACATACTACTTAGGAAAATGCTTAATTAAAGTGGAGCCTTAAGCCTGCTGGAAGAGTGTGGAAGTGCTGATAATTGCCTGCATGTCTCTTCATGTTCTACCAGTCAAAAGGAAAGAAGCCCTTGTTTGTGCAGTTGGTGTTGGACAACATATGGAGTCTATATGAAGCTGTTATGAAAAGGTGAGAAGAACCTGTAAAACTTTCACAGAATCCCTTTCCGGTGGTGTTTTGAACTACTCTAGCAAGGAATGCATGTTAGATATTACTGACATGGCTTGTATCTTCCTTACAGAGATAAAGAAAAAATTGAGAAGATTGTTACCTCGTTGGGCTTGAAAATTGGCCCCCGGGAGTCACGGCACGCAGACCCCAAAGTTCACCTTAATGCCATTTGTAGTCAGTGGCTGCCTATATCTGATGCAGTCCTTTGTATCCTTCAGGAGGATGCAGCTTTTTGTTCTACTGGTGGTTCATAGTCTTGAAAGAGTGCATTCTAATTGTGTAGTGACTTGGCTCACTTAATGCTAGCGGTAATGGTACTTTGCCAGTGCTGGGTTTTTTTATTTATGTTTTCTGTGATGTCTCCATTTGAGAAATTCCTTAGGAATATCTGCTTTCTACATTTCCCTTCAATAACAGTTTCTGTTCTGACATTGTTCTTCAATATGTTAAGAGTGTTAGAAATAAAGGCCAAAGTAATGATGGCTTGATTTGAAAACAAACTAACAAAAGTACCTGAGATGATAACGAAGTAAAAGACAGTGCAGAGAGGGCAGTTTGTATTGCATACTTTCTCATAATAACTGAAGGTACTGATGAAGAAGCTGTGAGTAATCATAAGGAGACATTTACATTAGTGTGATAGTAGGGAACGTGTGATAACTACAACGCTTATCAAAGGCAGAGCTCTGTGATTACCACCAAGAAGGAAGAAGTTAATAAATTTATAGCATGATTGAGATTTTACTTCTTGAACGTTCTTTCTGTTAGACAAAACATTTTGAATATCTTCTTTCAATAGCTGTATATGCAAACATGTTAATTTACACACTTATTAATCAGTAAATATGTGCAAATTAATGCTTTACAAATATTAGCTCTATAAATTGTCAGTTGTGCAGTTCCTAGCTTTCCAGTTGCACACAGAGTGGGCCATCCTTACTTAGCTCTCTGCTCTGCATGTGGGCAAATGTCAGAAATGGTTGCTGACTCGAGTGTGGATTGGAACTGTCTGTTGTGGATGGCAGTTAGTGCATGATAGGGTTGATTTAGAGAAACAGATAATGAAAGCCTTTGTCTTCCAGTAAGGAAGGAAATATAACGAAGGTTCTCTATATCCTTAGCAATATGCTTTAGCTATGGTATGTAGTAAACTTCCCAGTCCCCTTGACATCACTGCAGAGAGAGTGGAAAAGCTGATGTGTGTTGGAGCTAAAACCTTTGATTCTTTACCACCGGAAACCCAGGAACTGAAAAGCGGTAGGTGTTCAGCCATTGCTGGAGCACAGCTTTGTTTCAATCTTGATTATTTTGTTTGTCTTCAGATTGTAAGATGCGTGGTAACCTCTATTTAGATGTATATAATTATTTTACTTGTAGTTTTGTTGATGTTTATCTTTGATGTGTCATAGTATTGTCTTATTTTTACACCTGATATTTTTCCTCAATCTCATATATTCATGACTTTTAGACAACTCAAGCTGCAAGTAACAAAGTCTAAGACTCAAACTCTGGATTTTGGGAAGTTACAAGGTTAATACTTGTATTTATATCTAAACAGTGGAACTCATCGTGTAGTTCAGTTCAGCTCAGAGCAGAGAAGACTGAGGGGAGCCCTCATGGCAGCTCACAGCTCCTCACAGGGAGCAGAGGGGCAGTGCTGATCTCTGCTCTCTGGTGACAGCATGGAGCTGGGTCAGGTGGGAGTTAGCATGCTTAAACTAGGAGCAGTTGAAACAATTTCTGAACTCTGGGAGTGTAGTAAAAGGTGTTTTACAGAGAAACAGTGTTTTACAGTGAGCTTCATTGAATCCAGAGGGATGAGATGTCAAATGTCCACTTGGGATGAGATGTCGACAAATCGCTAGGAATTATTTCTTGATGTAAGGAAACTGATGCTTTCTTCCTTCTCTGAGGTGCAGTGAATGTGTTCTCAGGACAATGTAGAGTATCGTATTAGTGTAAGTCAATTGGAAGAAAGTTGCCTCTGTAAACTTGGGTCTTAGTGCTGTTGGGTATGAAAATAGGGTACTTCACATTATAGTAAGTTTTCTCTTAATTCTTAATTGTAAAGTGCTTATGACTACAATATTTTCATACATAAAAGATAAAGATAAAAGGCAGAGCATTAGAATACAATTGAAATCTTAAACAGTATTGTTTGCTACGATTGTGATAATGAGCTCCAAGTTTGATAGGGAAAAAAGTATTTCCTAAGTATTGAATGTGTTAACACTTGAGGTAGATCCGTTCTTGCAGCTGAGTTGTTGGAATTTCATGAAGCCATGAGCATCTAGATGCTTGCAGGACTTTTGCCTTTGATCTGTAAGGAGGAGTAATACAGTGAGGTACTGGATTAGTAGCTCATTCTAAATATTAAGCTACTCCCTGTCTTTTCATTTTGATCTTAACCAGCCTATGAACACAATTTTAAGTATCATAACAATATGTTTAGCTGGAGTATGTGTACCTTGTTATAAAGGATCTCTTTTTCTACACTTTTACTCTTTTTATTGTGAAACAAACTTGAAGATTGAGGTAGAGTTCTCAAATGAGAAAGCCTGAGAAATGTATATTTTTCCTGTTTCTTTGTCTCTATCATGTTACTCATTGAAATGGAGAAACAGTAATTCCTGTAACAGTCATGGAAAGCTACAATGTTGTCCATACAGTTGGGGGAAAAAATGTTGCAAATAACCTTTATGTTTGTTCAGCTTTTCTGAAATGCAGTAGTGAAGGAACGGCCCCAGTGATTGTTTTTGTTTCCAAAATGTTTGCTGTTGATGCAAAGGCATTGCCACACAATAAACCAAGGTAAGGAAATGGACCATGTCACTTCTAATCTACATTAATATCTTTAGAGATTAATTATGTTTTTATGATCTTAAAGCTGAAAGTATTGCCACTTACAGCTAAGTAACACAGTATATTAAGCTTTCTATTAAGTTGGACTGTTGAATGTGCATAAGATGATACTGTTGCTGTAATAACCCTTGAAGATTTTTCCATTATTTCATTCACTGCCTGGACCGCAATATTTTCTGTCACAGTTATCTAAAATCTTCCACCAAAAATTCTTTCCTGCATTAAGTTTGACTTCAGGGTAAAAAAACAAAAAAAACAGAAAAAGAAGCACATTACACTTGTGGATTGACAAGACACTAGATGGTGCTGTTTTGCTTCGAGCACAGCTTTACTGTGATGCTGAGCGTGATCAGGCATCAGTGCAGCATTGTGCTGCTATTCCTGTTTCGTCTGCTTTCCTTCATAGGTACTCGATTACAGAAGAGTTATTTTTCATTCCAAATACACTGAGGCTACCACTTTCTCATTATTCTGCTAGTGATAGCTATCAATTCTTTTATTGGTTGAGAGAATCAAGATTGTTTGACATGATGCAGCATAGAGGCAGCGGTAGCTTTTAAATATACCAGACACAGAAAGTATTTGGCACATTTCCAGGATTTTAGTTGCAGCAACAACAATGAAATGAGCTACTACAGGTCCTGTTTTGTGATTTCAAGCAGAAGACCATGTGTGAGAGATTGTGACTTTCCCAGGACTAATGGCTAGCTCTTAATATTTTCATTCTACATAGTTTGCATACTTCTACATGACCACTCATGGATAAACTCTGCTTCCCTGTCTCTTCCAATATTCATCTTGCATCTTTCTTGTTTGCCTTTTTTTGAAATTTTCTTTAGTCATACACCCTCAGGAATTCTGACTGTCATTGATCTAGGTTGGAAAACATCAAATTGTTTACTGAGTTGAGTGGAAGATTACATCTGTGTGATAGTTCAAATAATGCAGAGCTCATCCAAAAATTGTAACGAAATGTAGGTAAATGTGTCTGGACTAAATCACTGGAAAGTGGGTTTTCTGAGATAATATTGCAGCAGAGTGAGAACTGGCTTAGAGTTTTTCTGGAGAATTTGTAGGATACCAGCTCTGACTGTAGGCAGTGTCCTTTCCGTATCTTTGTTTAGGAAATTGAACACTGTGGTGTTTTTCTTGATAGCTTTTCTGAACTGTTTTTCTTGAAGTCTTTAATTATTCAATTAGTTACTGGTTGTCTGTATCAAAGTGAAATCGCCAGACTTTACTTTTGAAGTAAGCAGTCATTATCATCACCATTTAATTTTGCTGATTAGGTAACAGTGGGAAGTTTGTTTTGAAGTGATAGTTGGATTTTGAAAACTAGTAATGTAGCTAGATGTGTGTTTCAGTGTTTTAATGGTTAAGATTCTATAGATAAGCAGTTCTTGAAGAATTCAGAAAATGAGCTTATTTCTAAAAAAGAGGGAAAAACTGAAAACATATTTTCAGTGCAACAAAATACCGATGTTAACAATTATATAATTATGTAATGTGGTCCCTCAACATGCTTTGAAATATACTGGCCAATATGTGCTATTTACAGTGGCGCAGCAAAGACTGTGATGGCTGTGCTGAGATGCAGTGTTGGAACCAGGAGGATCAAATAAGGCTCCATGAGGATCTTCCTTAAGGATGTGTGAACAGAGGGAGCTACATGCTTAACATATGTAGGTGAAGAGTGTGTTATAATAGTGGTTTCATATTTGCTACTACAAAAACATGTATGTATTGTATTTTTCAATTTCATGTTGTCTTTCAAGGGCCATTACTGTTCTTGTATGTTCTGATGTTTAACTGCAGGACCTATCTGCTAGGTTGTTTGCATCCTCTTGGATGGGGGGTATTTTTAAATGTGTTAAAGCATGTAAAAAAAATAGATACTTTTCTATAGAGTGCGTTGTGTTCTTTGTTTGTTGGTTTTTTTTTTTGTTGTTTTGTTTTGCGAGGCTTACACTGTTGTGCTTCCAGAGGTAACAAGCAGATCCATGCTTCTGGTGTCTTTTCCTTTCGCAAGGTGCTACTGTGTAATGTTACCTTTTTGTAGTTTTCTTTGTAGCTGCAAATTGACTTTGTCTTATAGTGGGTTTTTTTTTTTTTTATAGTTCGTCTTATTTCTTCCACCTGCTTGTAGAACTTTTTAATCGCAGCCTGGGAAAAGTGAAAGGCTTTTCTATGTCCAGGGCATTCAGTAAATGATAAAAGGCTTGTTTTAATTAAAAATCCATCTTCCTTTGAGACTGCTGCTGGCAACTAATATCATCTAGAACGTGACTTTAAAAATCAATAGTTTCTATGCTAAAATTGCTGGGCTTTTTTTCTTTTCTTTTCTTTTCTTTTCTTTTTTTTTCTTTTTTTTTTTCCTTTTTCTGGTTAAATAACAAGATTTGCCAGAAGTTATAATACTAGAATAAGTAGAAAATGAATTTGTGGAATCTGTGATCAGGTTTCAACTAGTTGGCAGCTTATGTTTATCTCACTTTGGGAAGACTTGGAATTTGACTTCTTGTACCACTGTGACACTGAGTCTTTTGTCAGTCTTTTAAGAAATAAGAATTGTGCAAGTATGCTTTGTCTTCCAGTTTCTTCTGGCTGAACTTGTGAAATTATTTGCTAATTCCAATGAATTGAGACAGAGGTGGAGATGTTGAAGATATTAAGTTCAGTAAACTTGTGAAAATTGCTGGTCCCTTGGTTGGGTGGGGTAGGCAAACAAATTAAGAGACCACTAAAACAGTGCAGTATGATCTACTTCACCTTAGATGGAAAATATCTTAAACCAAAACTAATGGGAAATAGGACCAGATTGTCTCCTCTGAATCTCCTTGCTTCATATTAAAAGACCACAATTATTTGTGATAGCTGTACTTATTTATTGTTACATATTCAATTTCTTCTAAATGGTAGTAAGGAAAGGCCTGCTGACCTAATAACCTGATCTGCTAAAATGGTATTTTATGAGTGCAGAAGGGATATAGAACCTATAACATCTTTGGCATTTTCCTGAAGATAGGATTGAAAGATAGTGCATTCTCCTCAGTCAGCTGGAAATCAGAGTTTGTTTTTTTGTGTGTCACTTTGAAATCAGCCCTTTCTTATACAACTCTGCATGAAATTATTATAATAGTTTTCTTCCTGTGTTTGCATGTCTTAAACCAACAGATTGTAGTGTACTTTGTCTCCTTTCTATTGTTTCCTAAATACTTTATTGCAGAAAACATGCAAATCCAGTAATTTTTGCCTGACTTCAACTGAAAACGCTTTACGTTGTCTTGATTATAAGTAGGTAACAGTCATAAAAATTCATGCTCTTTAAGAAATTACTGTTTCCTTTTAGGTAAGTTTAAGACAGTATGATTTTTCAGTGACTTCAGTTTGAGCTGAACCCATCATTTTCTGTTTGCATTAAACAGAAATTTGTATTAAATTGTAGTTGGTGCATTAGAAATGAATATGCCCTGAGTCATTCAAACAGCTTGTACAGTTTTACATCTGGAGATGGCACCAGTTATATCATTGACAAAGTCATATATGCTTTTCAAAATGCTGAAATAAATGTCACTGTAGCAGTGTATGTTTGAATCCAGAATACACTTGAATTTTTGGAACTGATTTAAGAACTGGTATGTGAAACTCTGGACATAATTTAGTATGTGTATTTGTGAGCCTGGGAGAGAAAAGCATATAGCATTCTGGAGGAGTACTGTTTCAAGTTTCTTCTCTCTTCTTCGTGCACTTAATATTCCAGGCACATCAAAGGTTGGTGTATCAGTCAGGGCAGTTTTTCAGGATAAAGTATGATAGCTTGATACTGATGTCTTAGTTTTGTTATGCATCTCAGAGTGAACGATCTTTAGTGTATGATAATAGAAGATGAAAAGTTACCCATTTATGCCTTTTTTTCTGGAGTCCTGTAAGACCACTATCTAAGATTTTATGTAAATACTGTTTTGGATAATTTTCAGTTGTTAATTTTGTGTATAGACGTGGATTTCTACCAGAAACTGCATAGGGATTGTGGTGACATTAAAAAGGATGTGTATGTTGGTGTCATGAAGTGCAATCCAGAAGATTCTCTATTAATTAGAATCATAGAATGGCCTGGGTTGAAAAGGACCACAGTGATCATCCAGTTTCAACCCCCTGCTATGTGCAGGGTCACCAACCACCAGACCAGATGCCCAGAGCCACATCCAGCCTTGCCTTGAATGCCTCCAGGGAGGGGGCATCCACAACCTCTATGTGCAACCTGTTCCGTTACTTAGATTATAAGATGTTGGGCCTCCTTAGTTTGACAGAATGAAGCACATGCCCATGAGATCATGTAATTTAAACTTTAGGAACTGTATGGAGAGAAAGTATCCTCATCCTCCAAAAACATGGCAGATGCACTGCAGACACTTATTGCAGGCGGTATCAATCTCTGGAAGTGGTGTTCTGGCTGATGTTTCCTTCTTCAAATGGTCTAAAATTTAGAAAGAATGGCAAAAACAAAAAACCCCAACCCAGTAGTTTATTTAGAAACCAGAGGCCAATTTGTGTATGATTTCTGACTATTCAAATACGGAACTTTTCAAATGTTTTGGAACAACAAATGTCTTTCATAACATGGAAGGGCAGAAAAGCCCTTCACAGTGTTGATGGAGTGAAGAAGTTTAGTTGTCATCCAGTCTGAATGGAATGAGCTATCCCTGAGGAATGTGACAGTAAGAAAATAGTCGTCATCAACTTGTTTATTTTACCTGAAGTCTGTTGTATCAACAGTCTGCTGGGTGATAATATTGTGTTTGTTACACTGCTTGCCATGTTATTTCCATAGCTCTGGTTTACCATGTGATTGAGCTTACTGTGAGTTAGTAATAATGTGGTTGGCCACCTGTGCCTGGTTCATGTGTACAGTGTGCATGTTATAGCATCTCTTGTAGGCAGGGAATCTCTTCCTTTCTGCTCCAAAATTTTCATTTACTCATTTTCTGTGACCGTGTGGTCTCTCTTCTTTCCTTCTTGCCAGTTTCATTGGCTTTTCTTATGGACTGTATCTTTTCTTATGGACTGTATCTTTTCTTGTGGACTGGAGGAAAAAAAAATGAGGGAAGAGGAAGAGAAGAGAATAGCTCTTCTGATTTGGTCACTGCTTGCTCAACATTGGTTGCACTTTCATTGGTTTTACCAACTGGACAAATAGAATAAATGAGGGTATAATTTAACCTGGGGATTATTGCAGATCTGTGCGTTAATCTTGTGCTGTGATCTGCCTGAGTGTGTTACAATTCTATGTAAGGATTTATTTGACAGCATCTCATGATCTCAATGATCTCATTTTTGTGATTTCTAATGATACTACTAGGAGTGACTAATTTTGTGGAAGTCAATGCTGACACAAACTAGGGTGGAAGTTTAGGTTTTACCTACTAACTGAAAACCTGCCCACACTCAATCTGCTTCTTATCAAATTGAGAATGTGATTAACAGTGCTTATGTGTGTATTGCAGTTTGTGCATTCAGAATTTTGAGGTACCTTTGAGATTTTTGGCAAGGACTGTCTAGCACCTAAATACAGTGATATTTATAACAGTACCATGTAAGGAGGAGATGGGAGGGGAGCATACATTTTACTTGCACTCTCAGAATTATTTACACAAATGAAAAGCATTTTTGGATAATAAAATGTGTTGGAATGCACACATACATCATGTGCATTCTGTGCCTTCACATATAGACTGCGTTTATCCCTTGGCTGTCTCCTCACTACTTTTCCTATCACTCTCATACCCCTGGGAATTTTTCAGACATTCCAAACCCTTAAATAGCTTTGAACAACTGCCTTCAGGACAGAAGTCTTCATTTTAAAAAGTTTTCTTCTTCACCATCTGCTTTGCGTTTTCTATTGTTCAGCCTCACTCTCTTTTGCAATAAAATAAACAAACTGAACACATTGTCTGAAATTTCAGAGATGCAGATTCTTGATTCTGTCACAATGACTATATAAGAAATTATTTAAATGACTAATAATAACATTCTGGGAAGTTTATGGGTGCAATTTTGTCACGTTTGCCTTTCCCATGGCATGTGATGTGTCTGTTCCAGGTTCCAAGTTGTGAAACTGTTTCAAATTCTAGCATTCTATCCTTGGTTGGTTAAGGGGTGTCTATTAGGTGATTTTTAGAGATATTTTTAATTCAGAGGTAGTTTTTGTGGTTTTTTGAGTTTACTATTTGGATTTGATTTAAGTATAATAACTGTTCAAAGTGATTTCCTCAAGTTCTAAAAAGTATTTCAGTAAAATGAAGTGTTCTATTGAACTTCTTTTTTTTTTAAATAGTTTCCTACAGAATGTATGATATACAGAAGGCATACATATCATGATATAAAAGATGTATTGAGACTGAGTTGGTCTCAGCCACGTCATCTATCCACAGCTTTCTAATTAATCCAATTAGGGGCAGAGTAAATGTCCAACCAGTGTCCTTACTATCTATATACAAAAACTTTGACCCTTAAGTGATGGGTTGTTTCCCTCTTTTCAATTGGGGTGGTTGATGTAATATGTGAATGTGATCCATTCATTAATTAAAGTTGATATTTACTTGTCGTTTGGTGAAGAAACACGGCTCTTTTGCATCCAAGAGAGTTCAGCAAATCTTCAACTGTTTTGTTGTAGAGAAGGAGTATAGTTTACACTTCACAATGTGGAAATTAAAGAGACCCAGTGACTTGTCCACAGCTACTAAACAATTAAAACTAATAGGGCACTTCTGATTCTCTCTGTTTGTTGGTGTGTGTGCTTCTTACTGAAAGAACCCTAAAACATGTTCATACTTAGAGCTGTTGTCCTTGCTCTTGTCACATTAGCAAATGCAGATGGGCTTTTGTTGTGGGATTATGCTATCCTTCTTGAGAAGAAATGAACACATAAGGTGTTGTGATTTGTTGGTCTGCTTGTGCTTTACAAGTGCAGGTGGGTGGTAGAGAGAATTCTTCTGTCTCATCTCAGGTTAGAAGTCTGTTACAAATACTTACGTAATGTGAAAAAACACATTGTTGTTTTGGAAATACTGCTGGAAGGCAGTATATATTCCATTGCTCACAATGGGGAAAAATAAATTGAAAACATTCTAATTCCAATGGAAAAAGAAAAAATCTGCGTAACATTTTTTCCCCCAATCTTTTAAGCCACAATAATGAAAATGTTTTGGTGTTGGCACCTGACACCATGTTTCACAAGAAATAGAGGATCTTGAATTTTCTAAACAGAATTTCTTATTTTTAAGAACTTGTGTAGCTCTTTTATGAGTGAAATAGAAGCAGAGAAGGGACTGGAAATGACAGATGTCCAGTATCTGAAATGAACTTCCTTTGGCTTTGAAAACCTCATCTCACAGATTCTCACTTAGGGCCGAATTCAAAAACCAAGGACACAACTTCAGGCAGCACTTTTAGATTTAATAGATGTGTATCTACTTTGTAGCTTAAATTGCTTGGGAAGAGTTGTATTTAAAAGTACATCTTTTTGTGCTGTCTTAAGGAAGGGTGAAAACGCCTGTCTTAAATATTACTATCTTATCTATTTGTTTATTTTCTTATTTGTTTTAAATCATATGTTAAAACCCTTTATTTTGAGGTAGGGTTTACCAGTGAGTAGATGGAAATGGCATCAGAATATTCAAACTGATTTCTTTGTTGTTGCTTCAGTCGAGGCTCTCGTCTTTTATGGACAGGTCATTTTATGGGAAGGATATTATAGCAGGCAAAGTCTTTTTCCTGCATACTAACACCTGCTGTAAAACCAGCCAAGAGTAGTTTAAAGAAAAAAAAAAAAAAGAAATCACAAGTAATTTAAAATGAGAGCATTTGATTCTTGTATATTTGGAAGAAAAGTTTCTCTGACCAGGTTGGTACAGATAAGTCTAGATTTGCACACTGTTTAGTCTTAGCTGTCTTTCTAGCTCAGAATAATATACTGGACGTGATGTAAAGAGCAATTTTAAAAATTGGCTTGAGTCTTTTCTAGAAAAAACGAGAATTCACACATCAGTGGGAGCAGCTGCATTTATTTTAATGAAATATATGAAAGCTTAACATGGTAACCTCTTTCTAAACATGATAGAGGAATAGTTTGTTTATTTTAGCTGGATTAAAATATGTATTATCACAGAGAAATTAATGTTCTCATTGGTATGATTTAATTTATTTTAAAGTAAAGGGCATTTCCAAATGCTAATATTTTAAAATACAATTTAGGCCTTTAACCCAAGAAGAAATAGCTCAACGACGTGAGCTTGCAAAACAGAGGCATGCAGGAAAAATGGCAGCAAGTCAAGGAAAGGAGGTTTCTGAAAAGCCCGCAAGCGAAAATTCATCTGAAGGGACTGGAAGCACTGGTGATAAGAAAGGTATATAATGATCTGATACCTGTTTTCTTCTAGTATATTTAATAGTAGCTTCTGGGTGTTTGTCAAGTGGCTGATTATGAACAGTCTACAGTCAAGTCTAAACAGTTCAATAGGTGGGACTAAATGAAGAGTGTAGAGGGAGTTACTGGCAAGCTGATAGTTTATAAATGCTGTAGTAGTGTCATGGATACCTGTTTATAAGCCTGTGATTGTGCATAGTCTTGGAGTCACTTGTGGGTAGATGATGCCTTAAGGGGATGCTTTGCAGAAAAAATAGTTTTACACTTTTACAATTTAAGTAGGAATGCAGAATGGTTTATTTTTGCCCATGTGGATAGTGTCAGGTTTATTTGACTTGCTGCTACTAGATTTGAATTATGGACTTGTTGCTAACATACTTAATGCGAATACAACTTTTAATTCCTCAAAGCTTTTGTGAGAGCATGTGTTGTGTTTTTTAAGAAAATGCTAAAATAAGTTGGTACAGAAGCAATGATTGATAAATGGGGCTGGATTGTGAGTTACAGTGGAAGATTCTTTCTGTCTTTCAGTGTGTCGTCAGATGTAATACCACAGTATGTAACTGACTTTTTGTTTTTCTTCAGGTGATGAAATAGAAGCTGCTTTTATACTTGATATATTTTTTGTAACTTTGATTAGGTGAAGAGCAACAGCTCACTGATCAAATGGATGTCGTGACCTCAAAGGCAGCGAAACAGGAAGCAGACAACAAGGAGTCTTTCATTGCTTTTGCTAGAGTGTTCAGTGGTGTGGTACGAAGAGGGCAAAAGATCTTTGTTTTGGGACCCAAATATGATCCTGCTGAGTCTTTGCATAAGGTAGGAGGTGACATTGAAATGTTACCATAACTTGGCATTCTTTTGAAATATTGGCAACTTTTAATGTATTGCTTACTCCAAAAAAAGGTCAAACCAGAAATTCCAAGGAGAGTCAATGTAACTTAGGGAAGTAGTTTATATAAGTTATTGTTTATTTTATTCTAGTAATAAAGTTGCTGTTGTGAAGAAGGTATAGACTTTCTTTATTATTACTTTTTGGCTGAAGATCTCAAGCCTATGTATGTTTTCTTTAAGAGGAATAGATAAATATATAATCCTTAATCTAAGGATTACAGCCTATCTGTGCCTAATAAAAGATATTTTACTTTCTGCTGTCCTATAGAGAGATGTCAGTTAAATGTCTACACGTATAATCTGTTTTTAATTAGATTCAAGATAATTTGATTTAAAACCTTGTGTTGATTTTTTTATTTTTTTTTTCTCCTATGAAACCAAAGACAGACACAAAATGTCTGAACACATTTGTAAGCACACAGGATGCTTCAAAATTCATTCTTTGACTTTCAGCTGTATTCTGAACCCAGAGGTTTGCAATGAGAATAATTATATCGTAGTGGCTGCACATCCATGGACAGAGGAGTTGTGTAAAGATTTGAACACAATAATGGTGTATTTTAAGACCTGTTAAACTATTGAGAGGCTGGAAGCAGTTAGTCATTATCTTACGGATATGCAGCATTTTCCATTTTGTTGATTCTTTGATATTCTTTTTCCCACTTGCCTGCTTAGTCTCCACAGTTAATTATTTGGTGTTTAAAAAAACATTCATTTAGCTTAATTCTTTAAGATGATGAAATACTTTAGTAAATACCAGATGTGCACTTATGATCTTAATTTCATCATAAAATGTGAAGGTAATGCCTCAAAAATCTGCTTGGAGATTTCACTTGCAATATGTTATTGAAAGTAACTATTTCAAATCCGATGAAGGTGAAACCTTTTAGATATGGCTGACTCCAGCTCATGTTGGATTTAATTTTGCTTAGTGTCTTTGAAATGTCTTAGACAATAAATGTAAATCTAAGTACCTCCAAAGCAGAAGCAGTTCTTAAAAAATGAAGTTTGCTAGCATCTGGATAAAACTGCCCTTATTTTTCTATTTAATATGAATTTTATGTTGTATGAATAAAATTGGTTTGCAAATTTTAAAGGGAAGCATAAAACTTGTCCAGTCTAGTAAGAGCTTCTTACTGAAGTACATTCTAACCTACTAGAGGAAGTTTTCTTCTCAGAAGAATAACTGCTAATCAGTAAAAATTTTTATCTTGTTTGAAAGAAAGTTTGAAGTCTGCTACTATGGTGATATATTTTGGTTTTGCATATTCAACTGATTTTGCTGGTATTGAAAAAAAAGGTATTGAAAAAAGTGGTGGTAAATGTATTGAGATTGCAATCATGAAGTTAATAATTACCTTAAAATAATTGCCTTAAAACATTTGTTCTGTTAATGACAATGAACAGTGAGAGACAAGTAGTATGCACTTAAACAGCAACAAAGCAAGCACAGTTTTTTATTTTCCACGTACCATTTGCTTGTTTGCTATAAAACTGAATTCTTGGAAGGGAAACAACTAAGTATACAAGTCTAATTTATGAAAAGAAAATACTTTAGAATGTATTTCTTAGTTTTGAGGCTCAAGGAGGCTTTCAGGAGGAGGTCTGTATCAGAAGTAGGTGATAAATACCCAATACTGGTTGTTTTATTCTGTGTAGCTGTCATCCCGGTGTTCTGCTACAGATGATCTGCCATTAGTACCTCATATGTCTTGCTGTACTTTGGAGAATCTATACTTGCTCATGGGAAGAGAACTTGAAGAGCTTGAAGAAGTGCCTGCAGGAAATGTTCTAGGTAAGACTTCAATGCATTTTAATTTCTTAGAGCTTGAATGCTTACATCTCCAAAATGCACTGAGATTTGTTTTGATATGATTAAAGGAAAGAGAACCTAGATGAATTTGAGTAATTTTAATTATGTTGCATGTGCAAAAAATGAAGGCACTCAAATTGTTGTGTTTTCAATGAACTTTTAATTGTGAGATGGGGAAAAAAATGCACGAGTAACGGACAACTAGGGATTACAATAGCTTTATTAACTGTTATCTTCAAGTTGAAGTATTGCCAGGTAAGCATCGCTGCCAGGAATTGCCAAAGGCTGCAGCAAGGTCTAATAGTTTGTACACTGTGAGGATTATAAATAACTTTTTTTGCAACAGAGGAAGCTCTGTAGTATGACATTTCTACTGATGTGGATAATTGTAGTTCTCTTAATGGGCCTGCTCAAACTGTGGTGCTAAAAATTATTTCTGTTACGGCTATGGCAAATTTGGAACATTTTCCACGCACATGTTTTTGAATGATAAGTCATTGCAATTGCTGAGTTATGCCCTTTTGTGCCAGATTTTGAACAGTTTTGCTCTAGAGCATTGTTTACATTCATTGCTGGTTTTGTCCTTCATTTGTCATTTTTTGAATATCAAAGTAGTATTTAGAATTTTTTTCATTTGCGGTTGAATATGAACTACACCAAAATACAAGATTGTTTAATGCATTTATTATGGTTTTCAGAATGTTACAGTGACAATATTGCTGTATTATACAAAAAAAAGTTGGAAGGATGACATATTTAAGCATTTAATACCAGCTAATACTAATGATGTTGATAGATACATCTATCTGCTTGTCAAATAGTAAGTACTCCTACAGTTGCATCATGTCAAGAAGAAAATATTCTGAAAATTGTGTTACATCTTTCATGTTGTGTTGGGCCAAATCTCAAGAAATATGAACAGTTAACCCTACTGTGAGTAGTCTCTACTGCTGAAAATTACTTCTACATTGGATGTGACTTCCATAAACAGAAGCATATAGGTAGAGTAATACAGAAGTTTGAAATGTCAGTACAAGGTTTGTTGTCTTTGGAGGAATTGATTAGAAATTCAAGATTGGAATTAACGCTCAGAACTCTTCACCAAAGTTGTTCTGATGTGATGAAATGGATAGAAAGAATGTTGTGGGTGATCCTCAAAGTGGCAAAGGAATATTAAAAGGGATTTTGGGAGGAAAAAAATATCTGGGCACAGAAGTTAAAGCTGAGCAAGCACATGCTCTTCAAGTGCGCAGAACAGCTTTTTCATTCCTTTTTGCAATATATGTTTGGCCTGGACTTATTTTTTCCTTTTTGCTGTCCTAAAATTGAAGGTGAAATGATGTTTTCTTTCTATTCAAAAGAAAAAAAAGTGTTTCAACACCAAAAGTAGGTGTTGGAGGTGATGCAAAAACGTATTTTTTAAGTAGACAAAAAGAATTAGTGTTTGTTGTGATGCCATGAGCAGGATGAAAGGTCCACAATTCCTGTGCTGGTTCAAACATCTGAGTAATTTAAGCAAACGCTGATGTGAAAGCAAAGGAACATGTTTGTGAGAAGGCTGGTGGCAGTACTTATGAAGCATGGCTTTATACATGGGGATATATAAATATATACATGCATATAGGAATAACTGTTCTGATAGTGTGCACATGGGTTCCAAATAACGTGCATCCAAAAACTTGAGGTGTTTCCTGCTCTCTGTCCACAAGTACCACAGCAGTAGCCTTATGTTTGCTAATGTACGGAAATCGGATTTTTCCTTCAGTGCTCTGTGTGTTTGAATTCTGCAGGAAGTTTTTGCTGTCTTTAATAGTGCATTGGTGTGGTGCTCCTCAGAGGTTGGATGACTTCCTTATATTTTGAAATGCAGTTAGCCATGTGAGTCAAGTGTTTGAATTAGGAGTGTTTTTTTCTTGAATAGATCAAATGATGATGTTAAAAGCAGAGATAGAAGTCACTCCTGTTGTCAGCTTGCTATGAACTCATTTCCTATACAAATGATTGTGAGTACCCTTGTTTTTTTTTTCCATTTCTGAAATGCTTGCTTCCCCATACAGTGTTCTTTCAATTTTTAATTATTTATAAAGCAACTGAAGGATTCTTGAAACTTAAGCAATATAACATGGGAACAAGGTAATTAGGGATTGATACTTTTGGATTTCTAAGATAGGTGCTGTAGAGCTGCAGTCATTGTGAGGAGCTGCTATGAATTAGTGCTGCTAACCTCATTACAAGGTGTCTAACAAGCATTTTATTCCTTGAGGGCTTCATTGAACTATTTAGGAGCTTTTAATAAGCAGCCTCTGTTAAGAGCAAAAAGCAGCTGCGAGCAGCGGTGCCATTTTAAAGGCCCAGAATGGCTTTCTAGGACTGATGCCAACTAGCAAGCATTACCACCTTGTGTGAAAGCCTTAGAAACAGTACTGCTGTTGCACCAGCCCATTATTTCTGTGCAAACATTTGGTGGGCTAATTTTGATCTCTGAATCAGTAATGTGATTATTCAGAAAACAAAAAAAACCAAAACCACAAAGACCAAACCCAAGTGATCTGAGCTGAATGGGCAGTCTCAGCATCCATCAGTGAACACAGGAGGGCAGTCTTTCTCAAGAATGTTACTGAAATCAGCAGAAAATAGTGAATGAAACAAAGAAAACTCAACCCTTTGTCTTCGCTTTTGGTATACTTACAGGTTGAATTGCTAACTGCCATCTTACAACCTCATTGAAATAAAAACTTAATTTAGCATTAATCAGAAAAAGATATTTAATTGAAAAGATTTTATTATTGAACACTGTTTTTATGTCTGTGAACCATTGTGTTTACCTGGCTTTGTTGTATTTATGTTGAATTCTTACCAGTGGGGTTTTTTATAAATAGTTTAAAGTGCTTCTTTGAGATAAGGGTGTAGTAGTTGATCTGTAATTTGGCCCTTTTCTATGCTGGATACTACAACCATTTTGTTAGCTCTGTCTTTGCTGTAGTGGATTTTGTCCTCCTGCAGTTCCTGCTCTCTGTATGGCGTTGTTACAGGCAGGCTGAGGAACATACCTGTACTTACTGGGCAGTGTAACATAGCATGGCACACAGCTAATGCACTGGCATCAGGGGACACTGGAAGTGTATTTTGCTGATAAGCTTGCTTTACCGTTTCTGCTAATCACTTTCATTTCGTGGGATTTGACTTCATAAACTGGATTGCTATAGAAGTGATCAATTATTTTGTTTCTGAACCAATATCAGTGTATCACTAGGGCATATATAGATTAATGGAGACGAAAAAATAAGACAGGTCTGAGGTCGGAGATGTAATACTGACATCTGTGTCTTTGATGTAGCTGTAGTTTTTTGGGAAGGAATAGTATGTATGGTTAATAGTTTCCTTATAAAGCCTTAAGTTATGGTTGTTTTTCTTTGTAAGTTTCTATTGAAGATTTTCAGTGGCTTTTTCAGTAGCTTCATTTTTCTCTGTGTTTTTCGGAGTGTAGCTTCTTAAGACTATAAAAGGAAATCACATGTGTAGTAATTCTTTCTGAAGAAAACCACTTCTGAATTCTGTAGTGCTTCTGGAATGTTCTCTGCTCAAATTTTCAGGGGTTATTATGAGATCTTAAAAATGTGTTTAGTCTCTCCACTGGTATGCACGTTTTTTGTCATATTTAAAAATTGAGCTGTATTGGGATAATTTATCACAAAATCACACGTTCCTCTGGCCAAAAATGCCTTTAAATTTGCTCTTGACCACACTGGATTGCAATGTCAAAATTTCCGAGTAATTAAGTTTTTGAGTGTTATCCGAAATCATGAGGAAAGGAGATAATGTAGTGAAGTATGTTCATCAGTTTTTAAACAACTCCTAGCTATTATCATCTGCAAAAATGAAAATTAATTTCTAGATAATCTTCCAAATCTGAGGTGAGCATTCCTGATTGCTTAAGATTTGTATGCAGATGGGTGCTGCTGATGCTTGAGGTTTCCCAAACCAGGAGGAAAACTGCCCAGACTTGTTGGTGTTTGCTGTTGCTACTTGTGTGCCTGTGGGCAGCAGCAGGACACAGAAGAATCAAGGCGATTTCATTCCATTGCTGCCTGAAGAAGTTCACATGCATGTGCTCTGGAGCTGCTGAATGGAAAAGATCCAGAAATAGGCTGCACTGAGGGTTGAGGTGCAGGCAGTCATTTCTGTTTATCACTCCTGTTTGCTTCAGAAAGAAGTAATTATTTTTTTATTATTATTATTTTATTTTTATTTGGCTTGGGGCTTCAGATTTATCAATGCTTATTATTGTATGAATATACGTTGCTGAATGTAGCCTGGATCAGAATTCAGAAGACAACTCCTTTTTTTTCTGTGAGAGTAGAGAATTGACTTGTACAGTCATTGCCTCCAGGCAGATGCTACTCAGCCTTTCAATAGCTAACTGTGGGTTTAGATCCCAGATACTTACTGGCTTATCTCCAAAATTTCCAAGTATTCTATGTGAGTGCTTGGTTGGGTGTGATTTTTCATGTCTCTCTTAATTAATATGCAAGAATGGTGATTTTCCCTAGTACTTATACTTTCCTTAGTCAGCACTGATGCATTGTTTTCAGTCTCTTCCTCTATACATGAACATGTTCAGTTTCATAAAGGAAAACAGTTATCTGGGTAATGTACCTTGTATTTTTTTCAATGCTGTATGAGAACAGGAGTGTTGAAGTTGTTACTTCCACCAATGTAAAATGGTGATAGGTGAATTTCTGAGGCCATTGTCTGAGCTCACATCCATAATGCTGTATGTAGGAATTTGTCCAACACAGTGAGATCACAACTGATTTTGGGTAAGTTCCTTAAGGTTTCGTTTAAGAGCCTGAAAATATTCCATTCCTCAGCCTACTTACACAAATTATATGGGTCATGTTTTTGTGCTGTTGGTTTCTTTGTTTACATGTTTTCTAACTAGTAGTATTTGCTTTCAAAGGAGAGTGAGCATCAGTAGCTTG